TATTTTTATAAAATCAGGATAATAATAATAAAATGATGTCAACAAATAACAAAATCGAGAGTATAACGCTCGGGTTTACAACGGCTAAAAGTAAAAAGAGAATTAGATCATTTGTGGTAGCGATTGGCATGATGGTTTTCTTTTTATGTTGATCAACATTATCAGTTACAAGAAACCAAACATCATCAATACAAGATACCAAGCAACCTACCCCACACCATGCACCAATAAGAAAAGATCAACAGGAAAAATTAGAAAGAAAAAAAGTTTTAGAAACCTCACCAGCAATTAATGATAGAAAAACTAATAACAATAACAATGGTAATAATAATAATAATAATAATAATAATAATAATAATAATAATAATAATAATAATAATAATAATAATAATAATAATGGTTATAGATCCAAACCAGCATCACCATCTATTTCACCAAATCAACAATTTTTTAATAATCTTCCACCACATATACAACAACAAGTAAAAATAAGAGAAAAACAAAACTATGCAATTAATTTAAAATACGATTCAAATGGTATTATACCATCTCAAGATTTTTTCGATGGCTTAGATGCCACATTCGAAATCAAACCTTTATTTAAAAAATCAATTATTAGAAAATTATTTAATATCGATCAGTTAAATAATTTAAATAAAAACCTCAATAATGATAATATAAAAATAAATATAAATCAAAACGAAGATAAATTTAATCATAACTATTTAATAAATGGAAATGAAGATGAAAATGAAAATGGAAATGAAAATAATAATAATAATAATAATAATAATAATAATAATAATGATAATAACAATAATAATAATAATAATAATAATAATAATAATAATAATAATAATAATAATAATAATAATAATAATAATAATAATATAGATATAGAAATGGATAATGGTAATTTTATATACGAACTAAATGAATTAAAGAACACATTGTTAAAAGAATATGATATTAAACCAGTCAAAAACTACAAAGTAACTATTGTAACACAAACAACTGTAGATAGATTATATAAAGTTGCGGCAATGGCCAATAGATGGAGATCACCAATATCTGTATCACTCTATATAAAAAACAATGAGGATATAGATAAATTAGAAGACTCGGTTAAATCATCCCCAATTCTTTCAGTTTTTTGCGACTTTCATTTATTTTACAGAAATAATACTCGTTATCCAGTCAACAATCTTCGTAATTTAGCAATCAAAAATGCATTAACTGACCATGTTTTATTATTAGACGTTGACTTTATCCCTCCAAATCATCTTCATGATCATATTGCCTCCTATCTTCATTCCAATGGTTCTTCAAAAATTGAAACAGACTCTGGTTTAAATGCTTTTGTTATTCCTTCCTTCTCTTCAAACTTAAAACCTGATGAAATTCCAAACTCCAAATCCGATTTCATTGAAAAGCTAAATCAAGATCAAATTGTACCTTCAAGTATGTATTATTTAAATTTTTTTTATATTCTAATGGATTCTAATATTTTTTTTTTATCTCCATATAGACTTAAAAGTGTGTCCAAAGTGCCACTCTCCCACAAATTACCCAAAATGGATAGAATCTAATGATACCTATGAAATTGAATATCACTGGATATATGAACCATTTTTAGTATATAATAGATCACAAACCATTCCATTTGATGAACGTTTCAAAGGATATGGTTTCGATAAGAATAGCCATATATTTGTAATGGCAGCTCAAGGTTTTAAATTTTCAGTTTTACCTGATGCTTATATTGTTCATATCAACCACCCAAGTTCAAGATGGGATGGCCCATCATTGGATGATCAACAATGGGATTCATTAAGAATTGTTTGTGATCTATTCCCAGAGGTACGTGCTAAATATGCCAATAACAAACCGAAATTATTTGATGAACCATCCATTGAAGAATGTTATTCAAATTCTCATTGGTAAAAAAAGAAAAATAAAAAAAACAATAAATAAATAAAAAACATTAGATTATTTAATTAATTTATAAATACACTTTTTTAAAAAAAAAATTAAAAAATTGCTTTATTTAATAAAAGTGTGTAAAGATATGCTGTTGTCCAATAAATTATACATTTAGATTTGAATATTTTTAGTTTAATATGGCATTTACTATTTAATTTAAATTTTCCCTATTTATAAATAATTTTTGATTATTTGTTTACTTGATTATATATTGAACTTTGTTCTAAAAAAAGATTTCCGCACCTTGTTATACATTTAATTTGTTTTTGTTTGAAATGAAAGTTTTTTTTTTGAAATTTTTTTAAATTTTTTTAAATTTTTTTTTGAAATTTTCAAAAACAATTAATTTCACATATTTATAAATATCTGCTTTTGTTTAACTCATTAATTAATTCAAATACATAAATACTATATATGGTCTATTACCAAATACAAAATATATTAAATCATTATTTATAATATACCCCACAAAAATATTTAAATTTTAATTTAAAATTACACCTCCCACAGTAATCATTTTTTTATTTTTTTTTTATATTTTTTAAAAAAATTTTTAATTTTTTATTCATTTTTATTAAAGATTCACATTTATTATTTAAATGATAATAATTTTATAAAAAATAGTATATGATAATGTTTATATAGTAAAATTAAAATTTTAGAAACAAGATATGTCTTCTAACCCTTATGTAAGATTTGTTATTTTGTTTTTATATATTTTGTTTTTATTTTTTTTTTTTTTTCTTTAATCTTTTTAGAATAAAAAGTGTAGTACACACAAAAAAAAATCTATAATTATAAAAACAAGCAAAATAAAAATAAAAATAATAAGCCATAATAAAAAATAATTATAATTATAATTATAACAAAAATAATAATTAATAAGAAAAACTCACAATAGCAATTATTATTGTTAAATCTTAGTAAAACCAATATCTCAAATTCTAAAAATAATATTTTAAACCCCTTTTGTTTTAATTTTATATTATAATAATAGTTTTTTTGTGTGTTTGTGTATTGTTGCTGCAACAATATTTTTCTAATATTAAATCGATTACAAACCCAACTATACCATATCATTACATCTCTAAATAACCATATTTTCGTGCATTTATTTTAAATTTTATACAAATACAACAACACAATTCTATTTTTCAGATAATATTTTTTTTATTTGTTATTTTTAAAAGTTTTTGGAAATATTTTTAAATTTAATAATAACCTGTGTTTTGTGTTTATTTTTTTTTTCAGTTAAATATTTAAAAATAGAATTCACCAATAACCAAAAAAAAAAAAATAAACTTTACTTTTAATTTTCATATTATTTTTAATTTTGGTGGGGTAAAAAAAATTCAAAAAATATATATATTTATATATATATTATTATAGAAATTAAATTTAAAAAAAAAACTGTACAAACTCACCTAACCCCAAACACACAAATACTACAAAAATAGTGTTTCCTATTAGTTTTATCCTCAAAATTTATTTTTAAAAAACTTCTTTGTTTTTTATAGATACTACAATATTACCATTATTAATTTCCATTATTACATTTATTATTTTATTATTTACAAAATCATTAAACCTCACATCATCATTATTTTTTTTTTGTATTTAATTATATTTATTAATGGTTATATTTTTTTATTGTATCCAATAACCCTATTTTAACCTATTAATAATTAATTTTTTCTTCTTTTATAAATATTTTAAATTCATTTTTATTCTCGGTTTCCTTATTATAGAAACTTATAAAAGAGAATAAAAAAAATAAAATAGAAAGTAATAACAATAATAGCAATAATAATAACAATATTAGTGAAAATGGTGATGAAAATGAAATATCCGAAGAAAGAATTTTACAAAGTGATCAAGAACAACAAGATAGTGGTGATGAATTAAACAGTTTAAACAATGATCAAATTTTAAAAGAAAGCCCAGATTCAGAACCATCCTCATCAAAATCAAATGATAGCAACACAAACCTGCAACAACCACATGAAATCGAAATGGCAAATTATAATTCATCAAGTGAAGAAGATGATGAAGAAGATAGTGGTAAATGGTATGGTTATTATAAAAAATATAATATTAAAGGTTGGAAGAAAACGATCAAATCTCAAATCACTCCTACATCTGGTGATATTAATGCAGTATTTTCGGTTACATTAGATAATTTAGCAAACTTTGCTTCACTATCAGGAATTTTAATTTTTGGATTTGGCATGCCTGCCGACTTGGTTACCGATTATTTTATCCCCGGTCCTGCTTTTGCTGTGATGATTGGAAGTATAGCTTTATCAATTTATGCAATTATTTTGGAACATAAAAATGACCATAAAACCACATCGTTTCTAACTGCAATCCCCATAGGTCTCGACTCCCCATCAACAATTGGCTTACCGCTATTAGTTATTGGTCCTGCATTTACTCAAGCCATCAAAAATGGTCTATCAAGAGATGATGCCACTAGAGAAGCATGGCTAGTAGGTTGTTGTACCGTCTTTTTAATTGGTCTTTTTAAACTACTTTTAACTTTATTGACTTTTGTTCATCGTCAATTCCACCCAGTTGGAAAAGCTGCTGCTTTAGCTGGTATTGCTTTAGCTTTGCTTGGTCTAAATGAATTCCTGTACATCATTGCTGAACCAGTTGTTGGTCTTGTTTCCCTCTGGATTATGCTATTGATATTAATGCATCGTGTTAATAAGAATGGAACTGTTTTAGGAGTCAACCTACCATTTAATCTGTCTGCTGTGCTAGTTTCTGCAGTTATTGGTACTTCTCTTTATTATTTTATGGCAGGTGTTGGGATTTCAGTTGAACCAATGCCATCAAAAGAAAGTATTGTTGGGGGCTACAGATTAGGTTATCCACATCCAGCCAATGTATTTAAAGCGTTCTCATCAGCCATCAAACAACATATATCAATTGCAATTCCATATGCCATTCTTGTAAACATTGGTTCACTAACTGTTTCTGATACCGCCATTAGCATCGGCCAAACATACAATACCCGTTTCATTTTAGCAATTGACTCTATTACCACAATTATCGGTAGTTTATTTGGATCGTCTATACAAACCACTCCATATTTGGGTCATACAGTATTTCATACAAAATTTAAAGCCAGATCAGGATATTCGGTAATTAGTGGTCTTGTTATTGGTTTAGGTGGCTTCTTTGGATATTTATCATTCTTGTTAAAAGTCTTACCAAAACCTGCAATTATGCCAATTTTCATTTTCATCTCATTCGAAATTTGCCATGATACGTTCCATAACAGCAAAGGAATAGAACCACATCACTCACCAGCTATTATATGGGCCTTCTTCCCGGCGCTATTCCAATTTGCAAATATTATAATAGGTCAAATATCACCAGTATTAAATAGTGCTGTAATTGATAAAGAACTAGTAAAGACTACTTTAAATATTACATCTGATTCACTTGTATCATCTATTGGTAATATTATGATAATGGCACATGGGTTTATTTGCACATCATTATTCTGGGGTACTGCGTTAGCTTACATAATAGATAACAAACTAAAGAAAGCCTCAATATTTTTAGCATGCTGTGGTGTTTTAACATTTTTCGGTATTATTCACTCAGTCAATCCAAATGGTGAAGTTTATGTCCCATGGCATTCTGGTTCAAAAATCCCTTATCATTGGACTGCAGCATACTTTTTAATTTCGTTAATAACATTATTAATATCATTCCTAAAAACCCACCCAGTTCACTTTGACGATAACCACAACAATAAAAATACAACTAATGATTTAATAGATGAAACAAAAGAAGAAGCAAAAGATCAAGAAAATCCATATAGCAACACACCTGGAAAAGAATACTCAATAGAAAATAATGAAAAAATTATTTCTTAATTTTCAATATAAAAAAAAAAATAATAAAATTATTATTTGTAAATATGTACATTAATATAAATATTAAATTATTATTTATAAAAACAAATTAATTTGTTAATTCTTTTTTTTTTTTTTTTTTTTGTAAAATACTAATTTTATATAAGTTCAGCAAATTATTTCCAAATACATGAGAATATTTTTTTTATTTTTTTTTTTTTTAATGAACACACATTCAATATTTTTATTTTTTTATTTTTTCAACACCACCACACAACACCATAGTCTTTCCTTTTAAATTTTATTTAGTCATTGTTATTTTATCACATACACCAAGCTCTATGAAATTTAAAAAAAAATTTATTTTTTAATAATTTATGAATTAAATTTTTTCTATATATGTAAAAATATTTAAAAATAAAAAAAAAAAATATTATTAAAAATAAAAAATAAAATTAAAAATAAAAAATATTCATATATAAAATATTAATAAATAAATAAAATTTAAAAAAAAATCCAAAAATAGAAAAATAGAAAATAAAATTATTATAGATATTCGAAATCATAGAAAACTATCTTGTTTTTTGTTTCAAATAAATTATATAATTAATATCAAAAATATATAATTATTTTTTTTTTTTTGTTTTTTTTTTGTTTTTTTTTTTTTTTCATATAAATATAAATATTTCTACTCCTCATTTATTTTTAAAAAAATACCCTTTATGTCACAATAGTTTATTAAATATAATAATTAATTTAATATAATAATCTTTTTGTAAATAAAAAAAAATAAAAATAAAAAATTTAAAATAATTTTATATTATATTATATTACTTTTTTTTTTTTTTATATATTAAATCATTAATAAATGTTAAGATTTAATTTTAAACACTTTATATTTATATCTTGTACTTTATTGGTTTTAATAATATCATATCTATTTACAATATTTTTTAATAGATTTTTGTTGTACTTTCAAATAGATTTAAAAACATTTTCAACACACAACACCAATGAATCATTGATTTCTTATTTTAGAATCAATGATGAAAACACACTGCAAATCAGAAACCAAATAGAGTATTCACAAGATAAATATTTTCAAATAAAAAGATTTACGAGTGACCACTTATTTTTAATAACATTTTTTATTCTACAAACATGCATATCAATCATTTTAATACCAAATCTTTATAAAAAACCATACACTTTAAACATTTTAATTTTTAGATTTGTTATAGAATTTTTACAAAGCCAATATATCATTTTAACCAAACTTAGAATCTTCGAGCACTACGGAATTAACATTCAAAATACACTATTAGATGACCTATCCTTATCATTTAGAAAAAAGCAAGCATCTCTTTTAAGAAGAAATTTATCACTATTAAAAAAATTCAAATCGAAAATTTTTACAGATTTAGAAAAAAGAAAAGATTATGCAATTCAAAACTGGATATCATACACTACTCTAGAATGGTTTTTAACAACTTCAATTTTTGGTTACGATCTAATGATCTATATATATCCATTATTCATATACAACCCATTAATTTACCCCACTAATCCATTTAGAGGATGTATAGTAGCATATGTTAAAACATTAACGATTATTCAAAGAGTAATTCCTTTTATTTATAAAATCAAAATAATAACCAATACTAATTGGCCTTATTTGTTTATTTAGCTTTCAACAGAAAATGAAATCAGAGACTATATCAAAAGAATTAGACACTCAGAGGAGTATATAGATGGCTGTATTGTAGATTTAAAAAAAAGAGAAAAAAAAGGAATTTTACCTTGTGTAGATGCAATTATTGAAATTTGTAAATATTTAGAGAAAATTGTGTTCTGTCAACAAAACTCGGTTCAAAATCATTTTATATACAAATTAGTAGATGGCCATTTAAAGGGGTTACCAGACGACGATATTGAAGAAAATATTAAAAACTATTTATTAACAGAAATATCAGAAACAATTAAAACTTTTTTTATTCCAGCAATGAGAAAATTAATTAGATACCACTATAGCTTAATACCAATTGCCCCAAAAGAAATAGGTGTAATTATTAATATATATTATTTTTAAAAATAATATTAATAATATTAATTCCAATTTATTTTAAAAGTTATGGAGAATACCAAAAGGTGATGATATATATAGATTCCATATTTATTATTTTACATCAACAACAATGCATCCAATGGACATTCAGGAATTAGGTTTAATAGAGATAGAAAGATGTAAAAAGAAAATTATAGATTTAGTTAAACCAGAGTACATTTTTTGTGAAGAGCAAGAATCATTTGGTGAATTTATGAGAAGAATCGTTAGTGATCCAAAATTCCACTACCCATTTACAAAAAAAGGAAGAAGAGACGCAGTTCACCAATTAAAAAGATCAATTACAAATGCATGGGAAAAAAGCAAAGAATTATTTTATGATTACCCACAAAGTCCAATAAATATAGAATACTTTTCTATTTTTTCAGATGTTTCTTTTTCATATCAACCAGGTCCATGGGATGGAGTAAGTATAAAGCATTCTAAAGAAAAGAAACATAATTATACTAATTGCTTTTTGCTTTATTAATAACAGAGCGAAAACCCTAGAATTACAATAAATTTCGATAGAGAAATTGCATATTCGAAACTATTAAATAAAGGTTGTGCATTTAGAGAGGGTGTACCAGGTCATCATTTGCAAATTCAAGCCTCAAAAGCTAGCAATTTAGATTTCTTTAGAAAGAATTTTGTAAGTTTTAAACTTTACCAAATTGTTTTTATTTATTAAAAACTAACTAAAACATATTAGATTTCAAACTCATTCTTTAACGGTTGGGGATTATACGCAGAATTATTAACAGTTGAAAATGGATGGATGGAGAATAAATGGGAAGAATTAGGCCACTATTTATTAGATCTAAGAACGTAAGTACAATACCTTTTAAAATTATTATTTTTTTAAAAATAAAACTAATAATATTTTATTTATAGAACTGCAAAATTGGTTGTGGATAGTTCAATTCATTATCAAGGTATAAAATGGGATACTAAAACCGCGCTAGCTTTCTTTGAAGATTTAGGGTTTGATCATTCAGAAGCAGAAATTGAAGTAAAGTGTATTGCTTCACTTCCAGGTACCGGTTTGTCACAAAAAATAGGTCAAGTTAAACTTTTAGAAATGAGAGAATTTGCAAAAAGCGAGTTGGGTCCAAGTTTTAATATAAAAGAGTTTCATTCAGTTGTTTTAGAAAATGGTTCATTGCCACTTGATGTTTTAGCCCAATTAATACAATATTGGATTATAGAGAAAAAAAATAACAAATCATTCCCAAACTCGCCATTCAAAAGTTCAAAAGATAGAGAAATGGATGAAAAACTAAATAGCAAAAAAATTAACGAAACTAAAAAAGATATTTAAATAAAAAAAATAAAAAAATCTATATATATACACCAATTAAATTAATAAAAAAAAATTAATATTTAAAACAAATAGTGTTAGTTTATTATTTTTGGATTAAAGGTTTAATATGAATTTGAGGTTGCACTATATTCAAAACTGTTAAGTCAGGGTTTTTGATGAAAACTAAATGGAAGAAAGAAAGTAAATTATATACAATAGTATTTGCTGATGCGATTTCCTGTATATCTGATACGTTTGGACGCAAAAGTGATGGTCCAAATATAATTGATAAATTTGAACTATTCATAAGTGATGCTTTGGTTTCTGCGATATCATTTAAAAGTGATAAGCATTGATATAAAACCGTATAATTTGGGTCTTTAATAGAATTTATAACCTCTTTAAGTGCACTTGCTTTATCTGTTGGATTAGTAATATTATTTTGAATTCTATAAAGCTCTGTAATTCTATAGTAATTAATAAATTAGTATATGTTTTAAATAACTATAATAACAATAATAATAGCATCAATTACATACTGTTCATTTGGTATAATTGAATTTGGTAAATAACGGAAATAAGATTTAAAAATACATGCTACTTCATATATCCACTTTGGATCCAAATCGTCAACAGATTTAATTTGACCACTATCGAATTTAGCTTGAATTTCATCAATTAATAACTTTGAGCCTGAAATACGGAAAATACCTTCTACATCTTTTCTTTTTTCAATAAATTCTATGCAGGTCTTTATTAAATGTGGTATATCTTTTTCCCTGCAGTTGCCCAATGACTCCTCTAACTCAATGGCAAAAAATAATCTTGGTGTCTCCTCTATAACTGTTACCATCTCCTCCTCTCTTGGTGCAGACTTCATTGCATCAATAATTGTTAGTGGTGTATTAATAATGCCTTGAGTTGTAAAAGATACTAGCTCGAATACACCGACTACTGGAAGAATAACAACACTAAATTATTTTTTTAAAAAATAGTGTTAAAACCATATTATTTCTTAAAATGTAACTATTAATTTAATATTTACCCGCTGACACCCTTGGCAACGCCCTTAGCAAAGCCTGCGAAACCACCTTGTTGTGCACCCTTATATGGTTCACGAACTATACCTTTAGCACCATTTACAACACCTGTACCAAATGACAACACACCTTTTAATGCACCATCTACAAATGTTTTTGGTTTATTTGAATTACTGCCAGTGCTAGTATTTGATGAATTTGATGCTGTATCATCCAACTGTTCAAAATTTGAATTTTCATCTGGTGTTGTAGAAATACTTTTTAAATTATCAAAGACATAATTGGATGTTCTAAAAAATAAATAAAATTAATTTTATTAATAAAAAATTACTATTTTATTGGTTTGATGCATATATAAAAAAAACATAAAAAAAACATAAAAAAATAAAAAATAAAAATATTGGAAATTTGGTTTTTGAAAAAATAAATTAAAAATTTAATATAAAACTATGCAATATAATAATCATACTTTGAAAAATTATCACTTGTTTTTCTATATGCACCTCCTTCTCTATTTTCCATTTATTTTATTTATATTTTATTTGATACTTTATTTTATTTGATACTTTATTTTATCTAATATTTGTTTTTTTTTTTTTTTTTTTTTTTTTTTCAATAAAAACAAAAAAAAATTTTAAAAAAAATTCTTTTTATTTTTTTAAAATTTTAAATTTTTATTTATAAAAATCTATATATAATTTGTTATTAAAAAAATTTTTTTTTTTTTTCTTTAATTATAAAAAAAAAAGGGTTTTTAAAAAAAAAAATAAAAAAAAATTTAAAAAAAAATTTAAAATTTAAAATTTAAAATTTAAAAAATAAAAAAATTAAAAAAAAGAAGGCTTACGGAAGGAATTTGAGGCTCCCCGGATGGCAAAAAAAAATGGGAGCCCCTGGATAAGTTTTCCGGACCCCCTGGAAATAATAAATTAAAAAAAATTTTGGAAACGGAATTTCTTCAAGGTATAACAAGGATGGATGGAATTCTTTTTTTTTTTTT